ATTGGACGTCCGTGTCCTTGCAGCGAAGGAAGTTCGCGCTAACACAAACACAATATTAAAACGTGTTTGCGGTAGAGTAGGGTGCGCCAGACAAGTTGCTTGAATCGCTACCTAGGTTGCTAAAAAAAAAAAAAGAGAATATTCACGCCTGAGTGGGTTTGCGACTTAGGCCATGTCGTGAATATTGGCGTCAATATTGGCGTCAATATTTGAAGGAAATTGGAGTCCAGCGCGGCTCTTCGATAGCCAATATTCTCAAATTCTGTCGTGAGAACTAGAACGACATAAATGTAAGGAGGGCAATTTCACAGGCAGTCACCGTCCCAAGGACACATTAACATTCCAAGGTGCATTGCTATAATTGCCAACTTAAACCTGAATAAAAAAATAAATGGCCGACAAGACTATATTGACCGTTAATTTTCACATTGTCATGTTTTTGTAAAACAACACTCTAAAAATAAAGCAACTAACCGTTAATCGCTTTTTACAATTTACAAAAATTAACAATAAAAAGGTAATTGCTTTTTGTAACTTAATACCGTTTGACCGTTTTACAAAACTGTAAAACGACAAAACGGTCAATGGCTCGTTTACTGTTTTTGTTTTTGAGGAAATCCAAAACGGTAAAACGAAATAACGGTGTGTCCCGGGATTCAAAGTTAAGCGAAGAGTCAAATATCTATCCCTGTGTTTTAGTTTGTCGAGTTGAAACTCGAAGGTCATTTTCTGGTCTCTATTTTCCGAAGGCAAGTGGCGAGTAGGCATTGGAATGAATCTCATTTAGTGATGCTACGGCAGTATAGTCCTAACTTTATCGAGATTTAGGCAAACCTGTACCGTAAAACACCAGCATGCCCCCAAGTATACGGTATTCTTTTTCTGCTCATAACATGACACAACTAGGCCTATACCTGTCTCATAATTGTGAATATCATTCATTACTTTATTATGACTGCTTGTGTTATTATCAGCTCTTACAGCGATACGATAATGTTGCCCCATGGTCGCGGAAGTATTATTGGTTGAACGTCTTTCAGCTGGGTGGTGTGATAAAGCCCTTTCCAATGGGTTTTAGATAATAACAAATCAGAGAGCATGGGGTGGTTATTTTTGTAGGTTTTTTTTATTGTTCTCTTTTTTGGGGGGAGGGGGTGCCTTTGTTTTAAATGTCCTATACCGAAAATCACAAATTATTTACTGATACGCATCCGTTCGATCCCGTGGAACAAACGAACACCATGCTGCCACGCAAATATAAGGATCTACTCAATTAAACTATAAAAAGTACGATTTGTACCTGATGCCAGTGATAGTGGTGAGAGTTGAAGCCACAATCTTCTCTCCACCAGGCAAGCTTGAACTCCGGGTCCCGGTTGGAACCGGTGGTAAAGGCGGGAGGAATCGAGCCGTCAGAGGCGTCACTTTTACCGAGGCGAGCCTGATCGAAAGCACGCTTGATGATCGGCCCCGGAAAATAATTTCGAGGGTTGACCTGCCATAGCGGAGGCAACAGGGTACTGCCGGTGTCCTTACGGTGCAGCATTGCCGTGGAGATGGCGTACAGGTAGCTGCATGCCCTCGTTCAGAATTTCCCGGAGACGAGTGGCATCCTCTTGGAATTTCTTGAAGCTGTCGCAGGAGACCAGGTAGTTGACCACCGTGGCTGCCTCATCAGCGTGCGATTTCTTGAAGATGGAGAATTGGTGACCCTTGGCTAGGACACCGATGCCGCTCGGGAAGATGTCAACTTCTGGGACGGCTGTCTTAAAACTGGAAGGGACGAAGGCGTACCCGACCAAGGACGCAACAGAATCAGGAGCAGGGGAAAAGTGGCTGGTGAATGATCAACAGCACTGAAAAGAGACAGTACCGAGTTCTGCTTGGAATCCATAATTACGGCTGCGATTTGACGCGGGCACGAGCGCAGACAGGCCGGGAGCGTCCTTTTATACCGAAACGTTCGCTTTCGGACACACCTCACAAACAAAACTACGTCCCTGGCCCTGTGCGTGGTTTCTGTTTGGTATCATTTCCGTGCTAAAGGAAGTGCAGTTGTAGCATGAATTTAGGTTTTATGAAATACGGACTCATTGGTGGTATTGCGCATGCTCATGCATAGATAAGTAGAGGGACCGGTCACGTGAGAGGGTTGAACCAATAAAAGGAAAAAAGTCCGATTTGCATACGAGTCCGATTTTCATATGATACAGGATCTAGGACTAGGGAACAAATGAGCTAGTTTCTCGCTAAAGGGTCAAGAGGTTGCCTTTTCTTTGCTGAATATGCATGATTCCGGGGGCCAGTTGGTGCTGATTGGTGCTGCCTGAAGTGGCATGAGCCAGTGAGTACTGATTGCCCATGGTGGTTAGATCCACGTACCACGTTACATCAGGGGGTGTACCACTGCACTCTGTGATTTGTCACGCTAGCCACGTGATTATGAATTATTATTCCTTCCTCGGTTTTGAATGACGTACTGAAAAAAAGGCCAGGCCCCTGGTAGATCGGACTCGGCGTTCGCTCCACTGAAGTCCACGATGCATGGCTGGAGATGTTCAGCTATTAAAGTACGGTATGCTGGGAGCGATTCCTTTTTTGGTTCGTTGGCGGGTGAAGCAATTAAATAATTCAGTAGTTTCGAAGGAAAATTTATATTTATTCATTAAAGAACAATATGATGTGAGCACAAAAATGTTACAGTATTTAGGCATATATATTCCAGCATTTTAATCCGCCACAGTAGTCCAGTGGACAGTGAGATGAACTATGGATCAACAGATCCATAGTTTCAAAATAGGTGCCACGCAGGCACTTTCTCACGCACATATTAAGGCCTCATTAACAACGGAATTTAATTTCGAGACCCCCAACATTGAGCGCGTATAAACTTTTCTGTGTTTTCCCAATGCGTAAAGTAATCACTTTACTAGACGTACCACAGGTTAGTTGTTTATACACCCTTCTTAATATTTTGAGCGCTTTAATATGTTTCTTAAAAGTAACGGAAAAACGCGAAAAAACAACCGATGCTTTAAAGGGCCCATGAAAATGTAATTTTTGTTAATGCTATCCTTGAAAATGCCACTTTGTGTCCCATTAAACCTTTTTTTCAATTTTCGTCATTTTCAAGGGTATTTAGGTGCTTTCAGGTTTTTATGCTAATGCAACTTTCCATATTCATGAACAAAAGTGTGATGTCATTTCAGGTAGAAATCTCACAGTTATTTCAGCACCCTGGCACAAGTTGCCAGAATTCAGGATATTTTGCTGTTCTATAGCTTTTCTTTGCTTTGGTGATTTGTTGTTGTGTCGGTACATGCCATAAAGTCAATTATGAGCCAAATTTTCTCACAAAATGAAGGAATGTTCGGGTTCACAATTTAAACAAAACCTCTTAACTGATGACATCACAGCAGCAGCGCTCTCAATTGTCCGGAAATGCATGGAGACTGTTGCATGTTTAAAGAAGTGCACATAAAAAAAGGTAAATACGAAGGGATGTCAAATAGTTTTCATACATTTAAGAAGAGGAGAAAGTTGAACAGAGTATGTTCTTAGAAAAATTCATTGCATGAACTGTTTATATGAACCCGTGCGTCATTTCCTCTGAGTGTTTCGTGGCCATATCACTTTGAACGTCGTAATCATTCTCATTATCTGCACGAGCTGGAACTCAAATTCCTAAATATAATGGGAATTTTACAGATTGTCGGATTGAGCAGCAACTTATGTTCAAAGTAAGAGCAGATATACTATACAACATGGTTTGTGGGAATATCCACATTATGGACTGGCAATGAAGTCACTGGTGCACGTCTAAGCGCCCCGAGGGATCTGTGAGTGACAAGAAGGGGGTCCTGTGAAAAAAGGGACTTTCTATTCTATTCTGTTTGTCTCCTTATTAATGTTTCAGTTTATCCAAATACTTCACGATCACAAACATGGAGGAATCATGAATAATGAAATACCGCAGCTGTCTGATGAATATTTTTATGAGGTATAGCAAAACAAATACAACATGTTTTTGTGGGGAAATAATGAAAACAAATGATCCCTCGGTGTTGGATGATTGGGAATATCTCGCCTCGGGAGACCCAAACATCCAACACCTCCGGGTCATTAGTTTTCACTATTTCCCAGCAAACCATGTTGTATTTTGCATACTAATATTCCAACCGTAAAAGTATGCACAATATGCACCAGGGTATATAATGAGCTTCATGCATGAATTCAATAACATATTTAATTATTTTTCTTCAGTTTGATGATTTCATTTTGTTTTTGTTTCCTTGTCAAAATTAGCTTATCTCCAGAAATCAGGTCGACCCAAAATCGATCCGACGTTTTGTTGAAATGCAAGACAATTATAAATCTAGGCAGGTTCCAAACGGTGAAAACAACTACAACCAAGTGAATTATGGACAGGGACTATGTCTTTTCTCACACTCTCTCACTCATAATTCATTTGTATGGCCCGAATCTACCTATTATAGTATCGAATGACGCAATACCCTAACTTAATTGGCATGTTCAGGGTGTGTGAAACGATACACACAAAAATTATAAGTACGTTACAAGTATAATGACATTTTGAATTGGCAAATGTCAATGTGGTTATCTGAAGGATGGCTCATTTGCCAACTTTTCACTGATACCTTATCAACCCTGCATTCATGGGTTTGCACAGCAACTGGTTAAAAAAAATGTTTACAAAAAAAATCACTTTTCTACACTTTTAGTTTGGCTTATTTCTTGTAATTGCATGAACTAACAAAACAACATCCCTGTTGACTGTGTGGGCCTCCCGTTTCAATACCAAGTCGACTCCACAGTGACGGTGCGACTAAATGCGTTGAAGCACTATCTGAAACTGAGTTTGGTTTATAAGAAAATAATTATAATCTACATGTAAACTGCAAATCATCAAAATGAAAGAACATAAATAGTAGTCAGGTTACTTGCTCTACGATTATACTGTAAAGGGGGATGGGTCATACCTGGTGCCAGTGATAGTGGTGAGCGTTGAAGCCACAATCTTCCCTCCACCAGGCAAGCTTGAACTCCGGGTCCCGGTTGGAACCGGTGGTAAAGGCGGGAGGAGTCGAGCCGTCAGAAGCGTCACTTTTACCGCGGCGAGCCTGATCGAAAGCACGCTTGATGATCGGCCCCGGAAAATAATTCCGAGGGTTGACCTGCCATAGCGGAGGCAACAGGGTACTGCTGGTGTCCTTACGGTGCAGCACGGCCGTGGAGATGGCGTACAGATAGATGCCCTCGTTCAGAATTTCCCGGAGACGAGTGGCATCCTCCTGGAACTTCTCGAAGCAGTCGCAAGAGACCAGGTAGTTGACCACCGTGGCTGCCTCATCGGCGTGCGATTTCTTAAAGATGGAGAATTGGTGACCCTTGGCTAGGATACCGATGCCGCTCGGGAAGATGTCAGCTTCTGGGACGGCTGTCTTGAAACTGGAAGGGACGAAGGCGTACCCGACCAAGGGTGCACTAATTTCCTCAAGGGCCGATGAAAGGGCTGAGGCTGGTGGCCTTGCTTTAGCTTTGCGGCTGACCGGCTGCAATAAGGCTGGTGATGAATGCTCAACAGCGCTGAAAAGAGACAGTACTGAGTTCTGCTTGAAATCCATGATGGTGGCTGTCATTTAATGCGGGCATGAGTCAAGAGTCCAGAAGTCGCATTGGCCTTTACCTACTCCGGCCTCATACCGAAACCAGGACAGCCAGACACTCCTAAAAGAATTGAAAAACAGTCCCTGCAGGATGTGTTTCCGCTCCAAAAATGGTTCTGGCGCAATTGTTGGTGACCCCTGAAGTGTGGTATAAGTATAGAGCCACGTTCAATAATAGTATTTCGGGTGTTGATGCACTATGACTTTTGTCACGAGCATCGCGTGATCAGCCGAACAATTCTACTATTCTACTATTCATATTACTGGTCTCCCCAACCCCATTGAATAATATTATGAAGGAAGTTCAAGCGTACCTTTACAAGATTTTTGTTCAGCCGGTGATGGTTCAGCTTCAACTTTTTTGTTAGCTTTCGTTCGACAAATCCTGTTTACCGGCTGGCCCGTTCTTTGCACTTATGCCCATCGTATATAGCGATGTTTTTTTTTTTTTTTACACAACAGTCATGGGTATTCCATGTTGGGCGCCTTGAATAAAGGCTAGAGGACAAAACAGGTTATATAATTGGGAAATAAATTTATTTGTTTCTTTCTGATTCATGGTTCTGGAATCTTGATGATTTTTTATTAAAGAGAATGAAAGTCGACCACGGTGTGATTACCTCAATGTGCGCGAGATGAATTCTCCACTCAAGAACGCGATAAACCATGATCCCATATTAGTACGGCAGGAGAAATGGGAGAAATGGGTTCCCATGCACCCCCCCCCCTCACCCCCAAATAAAATTCCAATATAATTTTTAGAATTCCTAGGACATCTGATTAAAGAATTTTGATGTTGCCAGCGAAAAAGATGTCCCATGATGCCCTAATTTGCATATTTCCAAGATGGCTGCCGTGCGAATAATTAAAAACGCTAAGTGTCATTGTCAGTAACTGATGAGCCGATTTTGATAATTTTGGTGTCAAAATTATACATTTCTGAGTTGCTAAATCGATTTCGAGGTTTTTAATATAGTTGGAGGTCAAGGTCACGCAATTCAGGCGAAAGTCAAGGTCATTTTGGTAAAAAATGTGTCATTTTTATTTGCCCATGATCGGCATTATTTTTTACCTAGCTCCCATAGATATGGTGATAGAGGCCTACTTATTGCTTTACAATTTTTCCAAAATATCCCAACTACCAAATCCATTTAATAAAAAAAGGATGTGGCATTTTATATTGGAGTTGTGGCTAAATATTTGACCCCACCCCCAAGTTTTGGAAATTAACCCAATATTATGGAAATCGCGGCCAGTGGATAAAAAAGCTTACCGTTATATTTATTTTTTAGGGTCACGGAATCGATTGATGGTGGTTTAGAAGTAATCAGAGGTCATTTTCTTGCTCCAAGGACAAGGGTCAAGGGCATTTTATTAAAAAAATACTTCTGTTGTTTTGACTTTCCGACATACATTATGTTTGTCCAACTCCCATTGATATGGTAATAAAAGCTTTTTGGTCAGATTTCTTTTTTTATTAACCCAAAGACAATTTTATGTCAACATGATGGTTTGTCATCATCTTCGAAGTCAGAGGACGTGTCAATTTGAGGTTTTCGTCATTGTGTTAAGGTCATCGTCTAGGTCATAGGACGGGAGAAATAACTACAGCTTAGCGCATAGACATTGTTGCAAGTGATGAACATTATTACTTAGTAACTCCTGAACCGGTCATTACAGAAAGACTACTGAGCTATTTATAACAAGTGAAGTTGTGGCGAAGTCTAAGGGACATCCTCGTCATCTATGAAACACTATTAACGTCTTGGAAATCCTCTTTCTTTTCTTGGAAAGTTTATCTTCTCGCGATGGTTGTTAACTATACACGCGCTACGTGCGGTGATCAAGCATTATAATTAGATATGCGCAACTACCGGGTTCAAAATAATGGATGCTGCTCTTTTGTTCGAAGAAGTTTATTGAAAGTGTCTCATCATCAGTGAACAATCAATTAAGTGGACTTAAGAGATGCAGGGGCGGATCCAGCAATGTTTGCGGGGGGGGGGTGGCGGCGGATGGTCGGGGCCGTCGGATTTATTAAGTCCGATTGTTGCGAACAGGCGGATAGCCTTGTTCATATATATTAAGCATCAGAGCAGGGGGTTTAACCCCCCCCCCCCCAATCCGCCCCTGAGCTATGACTATGAGAAGGGCACTACTTTGCAGTATATAAAAACCTATGCAGTTGAAATCCGTGAAAGTTGCCTTCTTGGAGCTGGCGAGTTTGCAAACTGGATGGTAATGGTACGGTTGATGGTAAAAGGTTTTTAAATTTGTGTTCAACCATGGAGGAATTAAATCACATTGTAATTCATGCCATTAAGCTGTCAACATCGTTTTCAAAATTAAAAATATATATATCATGCTGCGCACACACAGCTACAGAGGTGATCTAATCAATGTCTTCAAAATGAGAACTAGCTACCGCTATAGGCGGCGCGTGGCAACAGCGTGCTTACTTTATTTCCAACCTCGTGAGAGAGTGGTGGGCGCATACTGCTCGACACCCTGATGACAAGGCTGGGCGCGGGGACTCGGCAGTCATTGGGTGCGTTCGTTTAGCTTAATCGGGTCGACACGGGTCAGCCCCGTGCCGTTCGATTAGCGCTGACGTCACGGTCATTCTCGGGGGTCACTGGTCAGCCTTGGTTAGGCGTTCGTCATTATCCGTCCTGAACGGTATGCGGCGGCATATCCTCGCATATGCAGTGCTTGTAAAAATACAGCGCGAACAGCGACCTCATGCGACCAATATACAAAATCATTTGGAATCGATCGAACGCCTAGGTCCAATCGTCGACGAAAGCTTATGTTTTTCTTTATTTTGCCCTAGATTTGTAGCGCACGACCCCATTATGCAAATACAGATAATTAAGTAGCTATCAGCAGTCAGTGCGTGGCGAAGATATGCTGCGGAATACCATACGGAAGGTTAACGACGAACGCCCTGACCATAAAAGGCTAGGTCAGCCACCACAGACCTAACCTCGTCCCCAGTGCTTACTTTATTTCCAACGTCGTTTCCAATAGTAAGCCCTGGATAGAAAATTTTCTTCCCGATTCGATACTGCAATTGGCTAGAAATTGATATATGTCGTGTACTTGGTGTTGTTATTCACAACGTGCAGTACGTGTTTTCGCGACCATTCGTCCACGCCTTCTCAAAAACATCCATTTCCTTTCCATTTTGTTAATATTAAAATGAAATGTGAAACTGCATGTTTTCTCGTAAAGATCGTAACAGTTTAATTAAAATAAAATTTGTCTTTTCGTTACTCACGCCATACTCGGTTTTACCCCAGACACCGCATAGAAAAACAAACGCAAATGTAACGCATAGGCAGGCACCAGACTATTCCTCATTTGCATACGTGTTCAAAAATCTTGCACATGCAAATGATCCAATACCAGGATGAGAGAGCACGTGGCCTCCCCCCCCCCCCCCCCCCAGGTTGTCAATTTTGTTGGGTTTTTATGATGGTATTTTTTTTAGTCCCACGATTTTACCTTCAGTTGGTGATATGTAGGATATGGGTTGCCATTTTATCGCGATACTTGTCACGTTTCTCGTTCGGAATACAGATTGCCCACTAACCTTCCCGAATTGTCCTGTCTTTTGTGTAGTATAACTCTTCCTTTTCAAATTGATATAAAAAAAAAACCGACGGTGGTGTGGTTTATGCCGTGTATACGATGCCTGTGAAAACAGGAAGTGGTTTTTATAATGGTCTCAACTATTTAATTCATAGTTAATGTTTGACAAAAACGTCCCCTGAATAAAGTCTGATATTTTCCCTGTAACGTTTAAGTTGATTAAAGACTATATTTCTGCAGGATGATTTCTTTAGACCCTGCCGTTCCCCCAAAAGGAGAACACAAATCACTGAGGCAAGTCTACTGATTGACGATTGGGGGCGCCATTCACTTTACACGGTGTGCCGTTTTATTTTGTTCCCGTACATTTTTTTACGATTTCGCGGTGCAAATATCGTCGTTCGACTTCATTTTACATTTGCAGCTGAAGAATGGGAACCAGATAATGGAACTTTCTTGGACAGAGCACAATTAAAGATTAATGTTAAAATATAAACAGTACCTTTTAGCACTGAGACACGGTGAGGGAATATTTGCAAGTTTTGGAAAACGTTAATATTTATTAAAAATCGTTAAAAGTCCCGAAAGACACAACATTTTTCTAATCGTCTTTTTTTATACAACTCGGCAAAACGTCCTTAAAGCTTAATGACTGGTGAACTGGATAAAAATCGCCACTTGAAGGTGTTTTGGCAACGCAAAAAGAGAAATTTCTCATGCCGCGATAATAGGCTTGCCGCGATAATAAGGAGTCCGTCATTATGTGACCCTTGCTCGTACCCCCCGCCCTGCAAACAGGACGCGTAATTTTTATTCCTAGGAGGGTTAGGGGCAATGTCATGAATAATTCATGTTTATCCATGAAACGGACAATGACATCAACAGCATTGTTGTTAGTTACTCAACTAGTTACAATACATTAAAGCATTTTAAAGAACGGTTGTCGTCGAGCTACCACACAGTAGCCTAGTGGATAGGGAGATGAGCTATGGATACAAAGATCCCTGGTTCGAATCCACGTCGTCGCTGCTGATTTTCATCAGCTATTTTTCTTCTCCAAATTTATCACTGAGATAATATCAAATTAAGGGGAAAATAGAACGAGAACCTAAGTCTTGCAATGATTCAAAGGAAAAACTGAATTATTCATGACATTGCCCCTAACCCTCCTAGGAAAAAAATTACGCAAACAGGACGCTGGTCAGGGCTGACGTCATTTGAGCTCTCATTGGATAGATTTACGCGACCTGTGACAGGGCGGGGGGCGGGGGTACGAGCGAATAATTATGTGACCCATATATATAGGGGTGTAAGTGGCGCCACCAACGTCAAATTAGTCCGCCCCCCCCCCCCCCCAAAAAAACTCAAGTTTTTTCTGCGGCCAAAAATTTTCGGCAACAATTTTGAAACAAAATTTTAGCCCCCCCCCCCCCATTCCCGCGCCCCCCCCCCCCCCCCTCAAAAAAAAACCCAAATCCTGGGTGCGCAACTGCTAGAAACGGACAAATATGGCTGCCACCGAGGACAGCGGAAATGTCAAGTAGTGAACTTAAAAGGGCACAATTGCAGAATACCCCGCCACTCGATCCTTAAAAGTTGACTTTATTTGAAGTCTAAAGGTAATCAAAGAGTTTTGGAATTGACTAAAAGCAGTAAATCTCACGAACCAACCCCAGGCAAATCAAAGGGCGTCACATGAGGATCGTGATGGCCCGCGGTTGAGCGTTCGATTAGCCGCTGGCCATTGGCTGACCCTCGGGGTGAGCCCCGAGAATGACGTCAGAGCTAATCGAACGGCACGGGGCTGACCCGTGTTGACCCGGGTGAGCTAAACGAACGCACCCTAAACAGGGCCGGATACCAGTCTAATAAGGTAATATCAAAAAGCAACATGGCGTCCGCGGATGAGAATGAAACGCTGGAAACGTTGCTCAGTAAGTGCTCTGTTTTACCTATTCACATTATTGCTGCTTATATTTGCAGGAAAAGTAAACATTTGAAAGAATGAATGGCTGACCTGTCGTCTTCCTTTTTTTTTTGCTAAGACCAACAATGACTTTGAGGTACCTATTTTTGCAAGTTATTTTATTCGGGGCATGATCAGATGATGATGATGAATATGCGGGGTGGGCGTGCTGAAATCGCTGCTGAGTGTGACGCGTGACGTGTACTTCTGCATGTTCTGTACTTAACCAGTTATGCTATGAGTTACGTCTGTATGGTGATTTTTGATTATTATTGACTGTTTGAACTCTTTGTAATTGTGTAATTTAGGACACCTCAATTGTTAACAATTGATATAAGCCAGTAACTAGTAGTAACAGAGATAGTCCAACAAGAATGACTTGATTTAAAACGTGAACGTAAAGATAACTTACCCCCCCCCCACCAAAAAAAAAAATTGCAGAGCAGCAGCGGATTTAAACCCTGCTTCCTGGCACAGTAGTCGAACGTGTAACCGACGAGCTACTGAAGCATTCTGGTTGGATGGGTTGCTATAAGTGTCATGTAGATTTGCAATGGTGATTTTGCAATAGGCCTACCGTAACAATAGCAGAACTTTGTAAATGAAAATTTAATGGTTTTCTTATACTCCTACTAGTTTCGGTAATCCTTACTTTTAGGACACCTCTATTTTTTACGAGTTCTGTTCAAAACTGACTTTTGCAGATGACTGTCCAGTACCAAAGTGACTTTTGCAGGCTAAAGCAAGCTTTTTTCTTCATATAAACTCATGTTAGTTGTAATTTTGATAGCACTTTCAAAGAAAATGTGACTTTCCTACCTGTTTTCGCAGTCAGACGTGCATGTTGTAGTTCTCACACGCGTGAAAGCCCTACCTAATGAAAGCCCGATGCTGATTGGCTGCTAAAAAAAATAAATAAGATGTTCATTTTTTATCAGCCAATCAGCATTGAGCTTTCATCGCATCGAGCTTTCACGTTTGCCATCTTGGTTTTTGAGTCTGTTTTCTGGTTGTCATCGTCGTCTTTTACCCCTGAATTTCCCTCATAAATCAAAGCCCTGCCCTCTTTCCACAAAATTAAATCTGCTGATATTTAATTTTAAGAAGGTGTCATTGCCAATTGTTCAGATGTGCCAAGAAATATCATAATGTCAATTTTGAGTGTCAGTTTGTCAACTGTTTTGGTGAGTCTTTCCCTTCTGTATAGGAACGGGGTCCTAAAAGTAAGGATTACCCTAGTTTCACTTTCCCATTGTATGTCTGTGTGGAATAAGCCAGTTCACCATTCCAGTTGCACATATGTGCGAGATCTGATTACCGACAATTTTCGAGAGATAAACAAAGGAGACGAACGCACACAAGTCTATGGGGGATGTGGTAACCAAAAAAATAAACCTTATCAAAGAATTTGAAGAAGTATGCCACCGACTGATAATGATATATTTTATAGAAAAAATATCACAAATTAAGATTTCCAGAAAAAAAAATCCATTGGACAATTTTTTTTTCAGACAAGGCAACCAGTCCTATGAACAGAGATGAGGATTGGGAGTACATCATGAACTTCTGCGACAGAGTCAACATAGAACTTGAAGGGTGAGTAGAACAAGAGGCACGATAGAAAGTAGCACTGATCAGATTTGTCCCAAAAAAGTTGAATGAAGACAAAGTTAAAAAAAATCATAGTTGATCGTCCGGGTTTTTTTTTTTTCAAAAAAAGGAGGATGAGGGCCCTTTTTAATTTTGTTTTTTTTTTATATTTTTTCCAAGATGGCCGCTAAGTATTTAAATTCAAAATGGCCACCAGGTTCGGTTCAAAATGACTGCCAGGTAGAGTATAAATATTCATGTTAAACATGTTCTACGGATTTTATTAAAGCGAAATACAAGAGAAAGCTTTCTGAGGTGAGAACAAAAATAAAAAAAATTAAAAAAAAAAAGAAGTGAACTGTCGCTAGGGAATAAAGATGCAGATTTCTTAAGGTGTTTCATAAGTTGGTCTGTCCGTGCATAAACTAGCATAATTGTAACTACAAAATGTCTCATACGTGACCGATCAAAATGTCACACACTATTGTATTTTGACACAGTTTGTGTAAATAGAAACTATACTTTGAGGTAGGGATTAAAAAGTACTAAACTGAATCAGTGAAAGTAATATGTCAGATGTAGTTAACAAGGGTAAAGCTTCAAAAATCAGACAAGCCCAATTTGATGTCACACAGTGACCAAAGAATGGCCCTACATTGCAAGTTGTTGTTCACTCAACTCCAACATTGTTTACTTAAACTTTGCTTTTGCCATAACTTCAGAGACACAGCTTTTCAGGCAAACAGAAATTGGCGTCTGTATCACTTTGATGCAGGTGTACTATAAATCACTGCTCCAAACTGAGCCAGCTTGGAATTTGTATGCATCAGTTCGTTGCCCACGATTTACCTAATTCTTTTGAATGAATTTTTAAGACTAATACCGTGCAGGGATTTCCACATCCCACACATACATGTACGTACTGCTAAAGCTAACAATTTCATTAATTATCAGGGCCCCAAATTCTGGAACTCATTAACCCTGCTATGCCCAGTGCAGTTGGCAGAGAATTATCAGACCTTTCAAAACATTTTTAATTTGCCTGACTAAAATGGGTTTTGAAAGGTGAAATAGTGCTGGAACTTTGAAACTTTTCGAAAGGTTTTGGAAGGTGAAGCAACTCTGTGGGCAAATTCAGTAAGTTGCCTTTCAATACCTTTTGAAAGGAATTGAAAGGTGTGGTAGTGCAGTAACAATAAATTCTGGAGGATTTTTAAAGGTCCTGCATTTTTTGTCCTCAAATTTGCCAGAACCCAGATTTTGAGGTGTTTTGAATGGTCAAACCACAGGAGAGTTAAATCATACTGCTAGAATTGTCAATTTGTCAGTAGTGGGCCCTTATTCAAGAGAAAGCTAAAGTCTCTGCTTATGGAATGTCACAACAATGCTTCATTTTAGTTTTACTCATTATTTGCTGTGAACATATTCTTCTAAGGATATCCCATGTAGGTTCTGATTCTACTTGATTTGTTTTTGTCTTGTCCTGTTTCTGTTGGTCCCTTGTCTCTGTATGTGCAACTTAAAGTGTACTTCGTTGTGAAGTTAAGTTAAAGGAACAAATGTAATTAGTATTTATCTTAATAGATATTTTCTTCTACACATAATGGGCTTCTCCACTTGACAAGCTTGCTTTTTGGAGAAGCCCACCACTTAATCTTATCCATGTATCTAAACTGTTGTCCAAAGCTTTTCCCTTCAAAAGTGGAAATAAATACGAATGAATGAATGAATGAAACTCGTGCCTTTCTGTGTGCATTAACTTCACCAGACCGGAGATATCGTGTCGACTTCTTGGTCACAAGATGCAGTCACCTCAAGAGAGGGAAGCTCTACAGGTAAGAATCTGAGGCAGCATTTTGAGTCTTAACGCTAAACCTTCAGGGTATCTTGTCTGGAAGGAAGCTCAGCTGAAAGAAACAATACGGGATACTTCTCTAAGTGAGAAGCCTGCCAAGTGTATAACATGATCCAACAGGTCAAAGATGACCACCAAAAACCCTAGCTGTCGGGATTAAAGAACTCGATACATGCGGGCTTTCGAGTGTTCCCACTTTTTCCTATTTTCTATACCTTACTCCTACTTTTCTTGAAATTCCTACTTGTTCCTACGTCTTTCGGTCCTACAACTCCGAAATGTGAAATCTCATTGAATATTTCTATGTCATGTACATGTACATTGTAAATCACACACTGAAGGGCTTGGGCGCAGGAGTACTGCAACTGTACTTCCAAGAGCTTAGTTGAGGATGGAGCACAAGTGTTGTGAGTACAGAACATGCCAATTGAATTGAAATGAATGCCTTGTTTTGTCCTCCAAAGTCCTACTTTTGTCCTGTTTTTGTTTTTGTTTTTTGCTCTTTTTTTTAAATTTTGATCCCACTGTTCGACTACTTCTCTTTGGTTTGCTTGAAAGCCTGTTTGTGTCAAAGATAGCTAATGTACATACATTGATTGGTGGTTATTGTTCTAGTTCTATTTGTTGTTTTTTGGCATCTAGGCGTTGACTGTTGTGGAAGCGTGTGTGAAAAACTGTGGAGAGTCCTTCCATCGGCAAGTGGGGAAATTCCGCTTCCTGAATGAGATGATCAAATTAATATCGCCAAAGGTGAGTACTAAGCAGAGAAACTGCATAAATCTTGCAGCAGTTATGGGAGAATATGAAATTAAACAGGCAGTAAAATTGGGGTTTACCCTTAAGGATTCGCAAGGTTTTACTTCGAAATTTTCTTCGAAATTTCCATTGGTTGTTCGTTTTTTAATTTCGGCAAAGTGCGCACAAGCATTGACACGATGCATGCGCGCTGGGTTGCTATAATTCGTCGGTAAAGTGCACAACATCACTTAGCGGCAATCGGCTGAAAGAGAACGTGTCCTAGAATATTGTTTTGCTCGGAATATACAGCATTTACTGAGCTAAAACTTCATCAGGTTAGTTGTTAAGCACCCTTCTTTAGATTATGAGCACTTTTGTTGCTTCAAATGAACATAATGCACAATGATGTACTCTACCTTTAAAGCAGATAATTAACCAAAGTGCTAATTCAGGCGATTCACAATGCAGTGCGCCACCAACAGTTTGCCACGGAGAGTTCATTTTTCCCAGTGCATTGTGGGAGATGGTCGACAAATTCGCAGCGCGGGACATTTGAAATTGTTAGTTTTTCCGGCCAGAAAGTTTGTAAGCATATGACTCGAGTATCTGTTTGCCCTTTTCTTTTCGTTTTATCAATGTGGAGTTTTTTGTAAGGCGGCAGAACGCTTTGCCCCAGTCTATAACAAATTAGCTCAAGTTTTCTACTGACACTCGTTCAAATGGGCCATGTTTTGTCGACCGTAAACTTGAAAAACGAACTCTCCCTGGCAAACTCTTGGTGGCGCACTGCATTGTGAATCGCCCGAATTGCAGCAATTTCATTTCACTTCATTTAAGATTAAGATGAGGGTCTATAAGTACGCCTGTAATCTCTGCCCTGAAAACTGGCTCCGTTTTTATTTTCTCCTTTGCCTTTCTTTCCCTGCAGTATCTTGGCACAAAGTCACCTGAGTCTGTCAAGAAAAAGGTGATCGAGATGCTGTATAGCTGGCAGGCCGGCTTACCCCAGGAACCCAAGATCATTGAGGCTTACCAGATGTTGAAAAAACAAGGTCAGCAAACATTGTAATCAGTCTTCGATTGGTTTTGTTGAGTGCATCCACCACATGTTTCAGCTTTTAAGACAATACCTCTACATGTGTTATAATGTTTGACTTGCTGTATGAACTGATATTGTGTGGAAAGAAATGTTTTGAATTTAAGAGGTTGATTTTTAAATATTGATTTCAATTTCAAATAATTCAGCTGTTTGATTTTCAAACTGAAAGGTTTGCTCATTTAAACAGTGATTAATTTCACTCCATCTCAGGCCTTGTCAAGGAGGACCCGGTGTACATGGATAAGGCATACTTCCCGTCTCCAGCCCCAAGACCCAAGAATGCCGCATTTGAGGATGAAGAAAAGTCCAAGGTGTGAAGCATTTTGTAGTATCTCTGTATGTTAAAGTTAAGGTTAAGCTTTTGAAAAAAACATGTAGAACTTCTACATGCTTTCATGGATTTTGACGAAACTTGGATGCATTGACCCTTGGGTGGGAAGACACAGTTTTTCATTGGATTACTGAGGTCAAAGGTCATGTCGAGATCGTTACAGGTGATTGTTCAAATATGCTTCAAATGTTTCTTTGCCTACAGAATTTGATTTTAATGTAACTTGAATGGAGTGGTTCTTGGGTGTTGGTTCATGACAACTCGACCTCAAATTGGAGGTCAAAGGTCTTCTAGGGGTCAGTTGAGGTCGTTGTTTAAAAATGCACAACATTTGACTTTTTTAAAGAACACAAAACTTATAAGGATCGACCGCGAAAAAAGGCAACACTTGCAATCTGCGGATCATTTGTTCTTGTTCAGTGTCTCAATCAAATGAATATTATATATTGCTAGAAAAATAGCAATTGGAAAAAAGGGGGAGTGGGATGAACTCGAAAACATAACTGACAGTACATTTGAACACTTGACCTCTCAACTTTAACTGCTCAGCTTCTCGCAAGACTGCTCAAGAGCAAGCACCCGGAGGACCTGCAGGCAGCCAACCGCCTCATCAAGAACATGGTCAAGGAGGACGAGAAGAAGACGGAGAAAGTCTCGCGCCGGATGAACGAGCTTGAGAGTTGCAATAACAATGTCAAGCTGCTGACGGAGATGATGGAACACTTCCAGCCAGGGGTGACCAGTGAACAGGAGATGGAACTCATGAAGGTGGGAACCAGTTAACCACTTCACGCCGTAGGCCATGTATACATGCTAATGATGTGCAAACCTGACCCGAAACCGAAACCAACCCGACCCGAAACCGACTTCGGGTCGGGTCGGTTTGTTCATGTTTTCAGTCAGGTCAGGTCGGTTTCAGTTTTGCATTTACATTTTCAGGTCGGGTCAGGTCGGTTTAGCCATCTTTTGAAAAAAACGAAATAAACCAAAACAGTTGAGAAATTCAGGTGATGCAATATTATTGACAGTCACTGTGACCGCAGCCCATTGTGTGGTGTGGCCACAGAGTGCACAATTAAGTTCCCACGGTATTAATTTCTCCAGTCGGATCAGAACAGAAATAGATAGATACCGCTTGGTGACCATGCGTTTGTTCAGTAAGCGGACTTACTCTCGATCAGCCCACTGAGTACGACAGAGAGAGAGAGACGATGGTTTTGCAAAAGAATTCATGTCACGTGGGTAAGGGCAGGCTCGAAAAAGTCATCACTTTGTCCAAGCCAGGTATTCGGTTATTTTCGGGGGGGGGGGGGGGTTTCAGGTCGGTTCGGGACTGTTTTACCTCATTTTTTGTCGGGTCGGGTCGGGTCGGTTTGAGGGAGTTAAGATCAGTTTCGGGTCGGATTCAGTTTATATCTCTAATGTTTAAGGTCGGTTTGGCCTGGTCGACCCGACCCGAAGCACATCATTAATACATGCAAAAGTTTTGTGGTTTTCGGAACGGATGACAGATTTGGGGGAGGGGATAATATAAGAAAATGACCTCACTTTTTTGTCAACAATTTATACCATAAAACTGATGTGTTATGTTTATTTCAGGAGCTTTACATTGCCTGTGAGAAGATGCGACCTAACCTGTTTCGGTTAGCCAGTGACTCTGAGGAAAAGGATGATGGAATAGGTAGGGGTAACACTGTTAATCCGTACTTTACTTTAACCCTAACTCCCTAGCATGATTTACTAAGAACCATACCCATCCTGGCAAATTCCAACACCATATGGGAAACTGCAAACACATATTGCTGACTTTGTTTCTGGCGGTGTGCCCAACCCAATGTGAAAGACTGTCAGTTTAGGGGTACTGTACCCATCCTGACAGATTCCAACAAAACATGCCGTTGGGGATTGATGGGTTGAGTTCTGTAAGGGTTGATTAAATTCAGTGTTGTGCAAAACATATTTCACCGCAAGCCAGAAATAAACATGGATGGAAAGACAGCCAAGTGCATAAAGGAGGCATCATAGGGAATGTCATTTAGTAACATGACAATGACCATACAAGGAGGGGGCGGGGTATTCATTGCCAAACAAAAGTGAATAGACCCAAAAGCTAGAAGCATGAATGTACTAAGAAGTTGAATACAATTTCATGTTTGCTGAGTCGTGTGGAGTCAACAAAAACAACAAGAATAGGCTCGCAAATGTACCTGGACAAGCTGGACCTGAAAATCTCAGTGTAGGACATTATAATCGGTGACACAGTCTGGCAGTCAGTGATCAGTGACTCTTTCAGTCAATGACTCAGTAAGTCAGAGGACACTAGGCCAGCCTTTGGGTCCAGCAAACCTAGCAAGAATTAAGAGATTTTCTTTTCCTTGCTCCAAGCAGCTGATGTATTACAGACCAACGATGCGGTTGTCAAGGTGATGGAGACGTACAAGGACAAGATCGGCTTGGCCAGTCTAGAGCAGCCATCCTCCCCTGGACTCCTGAACAACGCTCCCTTGGCGCCTCCCGCCCAGACGCAGCAAGAAGGTACTTGTAGGGCCCACCATGTGACACGTGCTCCTCTTGCAGGAGACTTGATCCTCTCAGATCCTTCAAAGTCCCCATGGAAACTATTACCTGGTTTAGATCTCTCTCATAGGACGCCATCATTGTAGGAAAATTACAACTGCGTGTTGAACGCCAACAGGTGCGTGTGCGCGTAGTGTGCAAAATGTTCTTAACACGTATGCGTGTTGCTCAAAATTTCTTCGAAATATGGCACAGCCGATGCGCGTCACGGAAATTTGATGCCCAAAATGCCGGTGGACGTGACAATCTGTAGGAGGTGATGTCATTTGAGAGAGACCTGTTTGTGAGGCATTCTGGCAAAATCAGACAGAACAGGGGTCAAAGCAGGGGTCAGGAAAGAGAATAAAAATGCTCCTTACAATATTATGTGTTGCACTTCAATGGAACGTTCTGTTGACAAGTTATGGCTGTTTAAAGTTCGCATTTATTGACATAAATCAACCAAAGTAACATACTGAGAAAGGGCCTTTAAAGTTTCGAGATTTGTAGACCCCAAAATGGCAGATGCCAATTGTTTTTCCCTAAAAACACTCTTATTCCTTGAATTTAATACTATTACCTTAAAATATCTGTAGTAGACCTATCGAAGTTTACAAATATTTAAGGGAATATACATCATTTGCTTTTGCTGTAATTTTCAGAAATGGATGGAATTGGGGGGTTGGAAATATATAGCAAATATAGTTACACTGACTTTTTTGAGGTTTTGGGTTCGAAAATGCTATAAAAACCAAGAAAAACGATAGTTTTCCTGTAGTCTGGCTCCCTGACTCCATATAAGAAGAAACAGAGCAGTTTACATACATTGGGGAATTGTAAGGTCAGGGAACCAGTCTAGCTGGCTCGTACCTGTTCATAGGTTTGTAATCGATTGCAAACAAGTGCGATGGTCAATTGGGGCCAGTATTTGAAAAAAAAAGCCAGTTTTTTTCCAACGCTGATCGGCCGATCAGCGTTGGAAATTGATACAAAAATACCACTTTTCTTGAAAATGACAGTATACCAGGTGCCATGATTTTACAGGATGCTTTACACTGTCATTCACTAACAGTCCAGCAAGTTATTTCAAAATGATTTGGTAGTTTTATTTTTTGATGTTTGCAAATGTTGTATTTTCCCTTTAATCAATCAGAAAATCCAACAGAAATCACCCCCATTTGTGTTTTGTTTTTAATGTTTCTCCTCTAGGGCTTGTGCCCAGTTCCGTCTCATTTTGCCAGAACACCTCACATATTATATACAATCAGTAGCCGGTCCAGGTGCTTGTATTTCCCTGGCAACAGCAGCAAAATGCCACATGACCACAACATGCAACCAAATGTCACTTGCTGCTTCAGTGAGATGCTATTAAAGCCAAAAATACTGTGCGGCCAAGGATCATGGTCTCAAATCACATTGCCATGGTGGGTGGTTTAAAAGCTGATATCAAACAACTGAAGGTATGACATTAGTTTGAGCATCTCTCAGCCGGGAGGGGGGGGGGGGGATTTCGGCCCCCCCATAAGATCTCGGCCGTTGAGTGACGAAAAATTGTGAAACTCGGTACATGCTTAGAGCAACTCATCATGAACATACCCAACAGGCGTGCAACTTTTCCTCGGATCCGCTGATTTCCTTGTTTTTTATTCCTCAGGAATGCCAGTACAAATTGAAAAATACTGTACAAAATCTTGTGTGGTTTGGAATTTCCTCGTTTTTTCTAAATTCCCAGTTGCATGCTTGACCCAAGAACTTTCATGACTATAGTCAAAGGGTTTTGGAATTATGGCTAATTAATTAATCATATGTACGAATGGTAATTCTGATCTGTGTACACGACGTATATGGGAAAATTCAGTTGTTCTTTTGGTGTCAAAAGATGCGCAAGGCTCGAGGCCAAAAATTCATAACAGGTCTGGTCGCGAAAAAAGTTGGGGGGGGGGCGGATTCCGCCCCGCCCCCGGCCCTTTTAGGGTTAAGGGCCTCTTATATAAAACATAATATTCAGAGTCACTCACCCCTGTTCAGTGCAGCAATTAATTGATCTAACTCCCAGACATAAGGAAAACTTGGGGAAGGAAAAGACATTTTTAGACTTCAGGTTACCCCAAGTTTACAATTTATATTGTCAAACTCAAATCTGCCATGTCATCCCGTTTTTTTCCCCTCACACTCCCAACTTGTTCCCCATCACAGACTCATTGCTTGACCTGAGCGGGCTGGACCCAGCACCCGCGGCCGTCAATAACCCCAGCGATGGGCTGCCATCGTTCCCCCCATACACCCCACCGTCGTCCCCACTAGGGGCCCCAGGCGTCACCTCAACAACTCAGCCATCCAGCACGCAGCTTCTTCATGATCAACTCTCATCACTTGGTAAGAAAAAGGCCACGGTCGAAAAACAGATGTGTTCCTTGGGCAGTTCAACCCCAACTGGTCCTTGACTTTGTTTAGTGTCTTGTTGTTGAGGTCTAGCGTTAGCACTTAGCAGTGTTTCCCCTGCCCATTCAAACGTGAGGCGGCCCACCTCGCTACTTTCAGTGACCACCTCGCTCAATTTTTGCCAATATCACCACCTCGCTGTGAAGATTTACAATAAAGGAAATATCAATTGAAAAATGTTCAGTTTGTGTAATACATGTATGTATGAGCGTTTTCCTTTACCTCCATGTATCAAGAACTCACAATTTCGATGTGTTTTTGGAATCATCGCTCATTTTTGTGAGTGCTGCATTCTTTTCAGTTTGCAGACTGCATAAATTTCGTTTCAGTCATCAACTTGAATTGTTACCACCTCGCTCAGTTCATTAGCCAGGGTAAACACTGGTACTTAGCTATCACTCATGCGTTCCAAATTGCTTGCTCAACTCATTTTCACTCCCCCACCCCCGACCCAAACCTCCATGCTGCTTTTCTATGAAACGGACCATATTTGACGCTAGGGCCCTCTTTTTCCCCTTTTCCTTATTTTTTTTTTTAATTTGTATTCACTAAACCTTTGGAAACGGGATGAGTAACATCGGTTGAAACAAGCCATCTACAATGAAAGCAGATATGAATGTGGGTTGTCATATAAGCCAGTTCTGTATTGCAACTGCGCATGTGCACAATGATATGGGTCACGGGGTCATTCTGGATAATCGAATATTTCGAAGGTGCACGAACGCTTGCATGTAAAATTACCAGTAGAATGGGCGTGCGTAACATCGCGTAACATCACGTCAGCGATGTCATTGAAATACCGAACTGGCTTATCGAGGCAAAATATTAGCGCTGCTTAATCACACAAGCTGAACACGTATGTCAACCCTGGTGAATTTTGTTGCAAATGTTTCTTGAGGCAAACCTCACCTTGCATTCATGCTGGCGTTGATAAAACAGATCAGCCGTTGCCGAATTTCTGTATTCCTGCTTGCAAATTCAGGTATTGCTAACAGCACCGCAGCTCAGCAGATTCCTCCGGCTACCCAAGGCTTCACGAGGACCTCGGTGACCCAGAAGACGAGCCCCACTGTGCTGGAGAGCATGATGGGCCCAATCCCATCCTCAAACTTGCCCAACTACAGCATCCCACAACAGCAAGCAGTAAGTACCTAAAAGTGTCGGCTTCTTTTCTTTCTTTTTTACCCTAACCCAGATGCCACAGACTCATACAGGGTAGAAGAGGTATAATAAGCCTGTTTGGTATTTGAACTGCGTATGCGCACAATGATATGGTCACGGTCATTCATCGAAGGAGCTTGAACACGTACGGAGATGGGCGCACGACGCTCGTGTGTTAATTGCAAGCATTACGGGCATCCGCGCATCATCACGTCAGCGATTTTATCCCAAATGACCTTTGACATGGACTACTTCGAGATACCGAACGGGATTATTGTAACGGCAACCCATCCACCCAAGTTGGTCTTCATTGAACGAATGCGATCTGTTGAGTCCCTTGTGAATGCTTTCAAATTATGTCGGAACTTCTACTGTACTGCTCAGGTGGTGTGCCTTTGGGGTGCAGGGTCAAGTGACGCCTATGACAATTTTTTGTCTTGTAGTCCATTACCTTGAGTAACCTATGCTTGTAATTTTTTTAGCCGTTAAAACGAAAATGTAAATCATGTGCAATTCAGCCCTTGACTGCGATTCATGATGCTTTATAATAAACCGATTTGAAATGAAATGAAATGAAATGCTCGATTTTGCCCTTCACCAACACATAAGCACTGTATACTCAAGTGTGTTACCTCCCGAGTGAAAGATGAAAAAAAAAATCACTCAGGTGGGACTCGAACTACAATCTCCTACTTTCTAGTGCAGACGTCTTACCACTCGACCACCGAGCTTACGGGATCGGTTGGCTGGTTCGAATCTGATATACATGTAGCAGCGGGTGCCGCAATAAAACTATTTATATGATGAATTTGAGTCGAGAGATCCCTTTTTTTCTGAAGTTGGACTCAGATTTTGCTTTGTGTTACAGAGTTCCTCAGTCTTTGATTATCAACAACCGACGAACCCCCTGCGGCCAAGAATGGGTGCTCCCGTCATGGCCAGGCCCACGGCGTCCGGTGCAGCGGGCGTGATGGTCCGTCCCTCTCAGCAGATGGGGTCCATGGGCGCTACCATTCAACCGGTGGGGATGAGCCCTAATGTCAACCAAGCTGGAGCCCGACTGCCTCAGTACAGCAGGACCCCCAGCGGGGGCGGGGCCGCACCGCCTCAAGGCGGGGGAGGTGCCCATTCACCGTTTGCCGATTTGGAGTCTCTCGGAAAGAGCATGGTGAAACAGCAGATGAATGGAGTCAAGCAGCCAGTCAGGTGAGCAGAATGACGAACAAATGAGGGCGTTCTGGCAAAATGAGACAGAACTGGGCAGAGGTCAAAATGAGGGTTGTGCGGGTATTAGGAAAGAGAATAAACTTCGCCTTACAGTACTGTTTGTTGCACTTCAATCGGATGTTCCATTGACAAGTTATGGCTGTTTGAAGTTCGCATTTATCAACATGTCAAAAATGAAAATACTGAGAAGAAGGCCTTTAAAGTTTCGAGTTTTATATTCGTGAAGAGAAAAGATGCCCCTTGTTTTTCATTTAAAAAAAAAATTCATTCAATAATTTTTATACTATTTCTCTACACTTTGTATAGTAGACATAAATATTACAGATATCAATCAATCTGAAAATCGATTCAAAAATTCATGGATCCCCATTCGGTTTTTTTTTTTTAATTTTTGCATCTTTCTCCACTGTGGCCTGTGCCCAGTTCCATCTCATTTTTCCCAGAACGTCTCAAATATGTGACCAGCATCCAATTCCAACTTTATGCCATGGCGTAACTTCTCTTACGCCACATTTTAATTGTGCAACACCTCAGATTGCCGTACAATTGAGAAATTTAAGGCACATTTCATGAAACTTGGCAGTGAATAAGTAATAACTTTTGCAGTCTTGTGGCTGGCATTAATCTTGTGACTCATTTTGTTGGAATGGATCTGGTAATTATTAGTTTTGTTCTCTCTTTTTAGCACGCAGCAACCAATTGCGGCTCCCCAACCAACAACACAGCAGCAACCGCCAGTGTCACAGCCAACAAGCCAGACCCTACCCAACCAACAATTGCTGACGACCATGCAATCAGCATCGCAACCAGTGACGCAACCCCCTGCACAACAGCCCGTGCAACCCCTGCTCCCCACAGCACCAGGACTGACACAACCTGCCACACAAGGGACGACACAACCCACAGCACAGGGGACGGTGCCACCGGTTGTGGCCAGCCCTTCCCCCGCTACGGTTCTCTCGCTGGCTGATGTCTTTGTTCCACTGGAAACAGTACAGCCTGGTGAGTATAGACCTTTATCATGCTGCCACCATTTCAGTCATGTTCCCTGTATCCAGTAACAGTACTGAATGATAATTTTTTTTGTGTGAAAAGGAACAAGACTATTTTTCCTTCCAGCCTCGCTTTGGTTATGTTGATTTGAATGTGAAAACTTCAAGATGGCCGCAACATGATAATTTCTTTCATGACTTGATTGTCACAATTTTTTCTGGTACTTCTATAACCTGCCCCAATTTTAAGTGGTGCTTTTCATTAATATAATGGCATTGTAAGGTATTTCTTAAAAAGTTAAAAACATTACTTATGAGCCTGAGCATTACAGTAGATTTGAGAATCAGACATTTTTGTCCACATCTTTTGTTCACAGAGACGTTCACTTTTCCCCAATTTTCTTCTTCATCTTCCAGGCACTGTTGCTCCAATTACCGCGTACGAGAAAAACCTTATAAAAACTGTGTTCCATTTTGCAAAGAATGCTCCTAGGCCTGACATTACGGTCCTGGTTGTCTCGACAATGAGCACAAATCCGTCAGCCGTAAAAAGCGTTGTATTCCAGGCAGCAGTACCAAAGGTAGGGACTTCTTCAGTATTCACTTAACCATTCAATTTGAAAGTTTGGTCACCCTCTTTAGACACCGGGTCGAGAATATTTGTCATTACAGATCAAATTCGTCTAAACTGGTGCCGAATGGCAGCATTCAGAGATCGAATTTGTGTTATATAAATCAGTTAGACGAATTTGATTTCTGAATAACAAGGTTTGGCATAGACGAGACGAAATTGAATACTCCGGGATGAAACGAGTGCTCATTGTATGAATTTGCTTGAACTGAATTTGAAATTGTCTGACAAAAGACAAAATTAAACATTTGGAAGAGCACTATTAAAATCGATGTTGATTGGACGAATCTGAATATTAGAAACAGTGAATTCGAATGATAAATATTATAAACTTGCCGGGAAAACCTATAGCAGAATTCTTCCTGTAATGAAGTAATCAGCATTGTTTACAAACTAATAATGTCATTGCAGGTAAATTCTGGGGAAATTTTGTTTTCGGAATTTTGCAACTAATAGCCGATAGATGTTTAGTCCTCAATGGATCCCGGATACTTTTATAGATGGCTCCTAAGACTAGGGCTTGGGAATCCCCCCCCCCCCCCCACAATACATATTGTTGTTTTTTTTCTGATACCATCAGCGCCCAGTTTTTTTGTGAAGAACCTGAATGGGTTTGTACACAAATGTCTTGTGGATGGTTTGACACTAATTTCATAATAAGTGGGCGTAGCATTCAAACACATTTTTTGTTAAAGCTAGTACTGAGAAGTCTTTTGTTTCTATTGAGTGTGTAAATGAATATGCACTCATGGGCAGTCCGTCACCACGTTATGGGGAAGTTTTTTATTGTTAGGCAAATTAGGAAAGAGTTGTGGGGACTTTCTGCTGTCCCCATAGTGTCTTGGGTCCCCATAATAATACCATGGGACAGCATGTGTAGTCCCCACAGTTACGGAACAAGAATGGGAGCACTGACGATGTGTGAAATATTAACCCTAACCACCCTGTATCCATCGTCTTCGGCCTATAATAATACCATGGGACAACATGTGTAGTCCCCACAGTTACGGAACAAGAATGGGAGCACTGACGATGTGTGAAATATTAACCCTAACCACCCTGTATCCATCAAAATCCATGCCTTTGTTTTAGAGTATTTTGGCGGATTCAGGATACCTTCATATTGAAAACAGGGATTTTGATGGATTGAGGATTGTTAGCCTAGCAGTACTGCAGGATTTTGATGGATTCAGGATACCTCCATACTGAGCAGTCACCAATACCAAAATGTTTGTGCATGACATAATACATGTAGGTGGATTTTGGCGGATTTAGGATACTTTTGTATTAAAAGCACTCAAGGGGTTCGGGTTAACGATCCTTACAAACGCTTTGTCAGACTGATCGAAAATAAGCATGAAACTGAAAGTCTCTACATGCGTACCAAATTTCATTTTAAAACTTTGTTTGTCTGTTTACAATTTCAGACGATGAGAGTCAAACTTCAGCCGCCATCGGCCACAGACCTGCCTGCCTTTAATCCCATTCTCCCCCCGTCCGCCATCACCCAAGTCATGCTTATAGCCAATCCGCAGAAGGTAAGACATTTATAAAGGCACAGTGTTTGTCTCCCTGTTGAAATACGAATTGCATACATCGTCGCAGAGCTGACATACCGACGAATAAGGGAAAACCCTGTTTCGAGTAATTCGCGTTTGAAGTTGGACATTTTTCTGGGCGTTGTATTTTACCTTTAATGTTTCGATAATAACCCTTTTGTTGTATATTTGAAATAAAATAGGAAACGTAGTATCCATCAGGTTACTTATTTAATCAGGGAAGTTGGGCGATATGTTTTTATTTGATCGTAAACGTATTTGTCAGTTTGTCAAATTACAAAATCTCTAAATAGCCGGTTGTTCTACACACTGTTTGTATGCTATTTGTCAGTTTGTCGGATCGCACGTGTGTGCAATTTGACAAACTGACGAATAACATTCGTTGAATCGGTGGTACTTTGAACGCACACCTTACATTAGCTGGTTACCAGCAAAATTTTGTATTCGTCACTATGTCAAATTATGGATTTGTTATGGTGACTGATTCGCCACATGCGGGGCTCCGGATCTGAAAATCCAGACAAGAATTAAGAATTTTGTCATCAATACTTGAAAGAGCAACCTTTATAAACCCCCAAAATAACAAAATCTTAAAATCACCAAAATGGTCGATTCGCCGGTATGTCAGCTCTGTGACGAAAATGTGCCTGTTAAAGTGATGTGAAAACAGGTTTGTTTTGGTAAAGGTCCGATAGGCCTATAATTTACTTTGTACACCTGTTTTTGTTTTGTATTTTTGCACTTACGTATTGGGTACATAATAAAACAAGATATGCCTCATAGGCTTTTTTATGGCTATTCTGGTTTTGGTGATAGTTGTTAAACCAAAATTAAAAACTACAGGTGCTGCCCCATTGCTTTCCCACAGTGTTGAGCAAAATCACCCAAGCAGGACTAGCTACCTTTTGCCCATTCCTTTCTGTACCACACTCTCATTTTGGGGAATTTTGAGCATGTTCCAATCGGAAACCATGGGCTCTGTGCGCCCCGCCAACAAAAGGGGGCGTCCTTTTACCTAGCAACGACGTCCCATGGGCGGGACATTTCACTGGTTGACGCGCACTGGTCCTTGTGTTCGATGCACGTACACCAGGGGATTTGTACTATGTACATGCAGTGGCCGCGCTTCGCAGCAAATGAATTGCCGTCAGGCAAGATGGCGTCGGTCGGTCACCCCCATCTGTACTTCCTTTGCCGGTGAGGGGGTACTTGTGAACGGAGCGAATACAATAGACATTTGCTGAGTCTGGGTTCATACGGTTGAGCGCCGTGGCCTCGTGGTCTGGAGCACTGAATTTGTGGTCTGCGGGTAATTCTGCAGGTTGTGGGTTCGAGTCCAGCCCGGGGTTATGGTGCGTGTGCCCTTGGGCAAGGTACTTTGCCACTCATTGCTTCTGTCCACCCAGGAGTAAATGGGTACCTGTGAGGGCACATGTGGTTATTTTTGTTGATTTTAAGCTGCTTTGTGCCGAAATGGCAACATCGAGCTATATACTCCCCAGGGAGCTGAGGTGGCATTTCGAATGTTTCATTGGCCCAATGAGCAGGGTAATAATAATGTAGTGCCTTGGGCATTAATAATGGTGGATACGTGCGCTTTATAAATACCCATTATTATACTAGTAGGCATAATATTTCCACAATAACTGGATCTACTGGAGCTACCAGGTTCAATATGGGAACATCTAGTTTTCCGAGTTCCAAGAATTGAAATGTTCAAGCTTTCAAAGTTTTTGAGACATTGTGGTGCTTGATTGTATCAAAATAATAACCAGAATCAGTCAGTGGAACAAAGAAGCATTAAGTTTTGTCAAAGTGGGCCGCTGATGGCTGTAATAAATATTTTGTAAAACTGACTTACATGCAAATCTCTTACATGTACATGTTAATCTCTTGCTTACTAGGAGAAAGTTCGTCTCAAGTTCAAGATGCAGTACACAGTCAACGACCAAGTGACAACGGACGTGGGTGAGGTCGATAAATTCCCGGTTTAACAGTTTCTTTGGGATCTTTACATTAAATGTGTAAAACTAGACCATTATCCTGAAAATGTTATTTTTGTTTTTAACTGGAACAAGAGATGAATCATTCGAATACGAGGTTTTTTTTTTTTTTACTTTTTTGGAATGGAAGGGTTAAATTAAAATCAGATATAATCACAAAAAAAGGAGGCCGACCGTACTTGAGAGGTTCTGTCTGTACATGTATAACAGAATTTTTCTAGACCGTTTTTATTCACATTAGGATGCCTTGATTATGTACATAGTTACATCAAATAGTTGACCGGAACATACAACACAGGCTGTTGCTGCTACGGACCCTGTACAGGAATCTGTATATATGCTACTGTATGGCCTACTCATTGGAGCATGTAACAGCATGTAAAGCGTCCCTGACTAACTCTTAAAGGTGTAATATATAGCATTTTTTCAAAAACTGCCCTCAGTTTACCAATTTAGTTAGTCTAGATATTGTTTGCAAGCAGTTTCATGTCCCTGAATGGGTGAAAGCCAACTAGTCTTGTTCCCTGACCTTACAATATCCCTGTCGTCTGTAAATTTTGTCTGAAGTAGGGTCAGGAAACCAGACTACAAGAACAGCATATTTGTTTCTTGGTTTTTCCAGCATCTATGAACACAAAATTACACAAGTCAGTGCAACAATATTTACTATAAAATACTAACCCCCAAATTCACCCATTTGCGAAAATTAGAGCAACATCAAATATTGTATAATACCTAATAAGGAATGGCTGACACGTGCACTGTTTTGCCCTGAATTACACAGATACAGCTAGCTGCGTTATATTGTATTTAATAGTTCTATTACAGAAATATTGAGAATATAAATATTCTACAAATGTACTATGAATAATAACATTAACATAATATGCTGTACGATATTAAAATTGTTATTTTGTTTTGTTTCTGCTTTTGTTTTGGCTTTTTTTTTTTTACTTATAAAGTTAGGTCCAGCCAGTCGTAAATGAATTTCTTTAAAAGGAAGGTTAAGCTGGAACGTTTTGTTCACGATTATTATAAAAGAAAAGAAGAGAAAAAGCCTCTTTGTTTTCAGCAACTGAATTCCATACATTGAAAATATTATATAATCTTTATAAGATAATGCAACAAAAATCTAATGGTTACATGGTAATCGGAAGCTTTCATTGATAGCTAAAGCTTTTGTGTATGTTAATCTTTGACTGTGAAGCACATGTAAGATCAGTCAAGATGGCTTTTGCAAATATTAAAGGTTTAATATAAAATGTTATTCAAGAGATCTTACAGCAGTCTTTTACACTATAACAGATAACCCTAACCGAACTCAACCCATCAAAGCCCAACAGCAGGTTTTGTTGAAACATGTTGGGATAGGTACAGTACCCCTAATAACTGATGGTCTGTTACATTGGGTTTGGCACACCTCCATAAACAGTGTGTGTACGATTTCCCATGTGGGTGTTGGAATTTGCCAGAATGGGTATGGTTCCTAGTAAATTATGCTAGGGAGTTAGGGTCAAAGAAATGTTGCAGGTAATATTTTCACTTGTGTATAAGAGGTTTCCTGTGCCTATAACTGTACAAATTGGACTCTATGGTGAACTTGAGAACACTTTTGAACTTCAGAAAGTTAAAATAAAAATGATGCATTCTTCAATCAACAACACCCAACAGTCTTTGGCAAAAAGGCTCTGGTCTGTTTGCCATCTTTGATGTGCTATTTCAAAAGCAGAAAGTATTAACCCTAACTCCCTGGGCCTTTTTGCCAGGATGTAGCCTCAATCCTGCAAAATCCTCCAATCGGCCTCATGGAAAAAGTAGCGTATAGCCTCAATCCTGCAAATTCCTCCATTATTCCTTGAATATGGTCCGGGGAGGGGTGATCACTGCCTGAATCCTGCCAAATCCTGCGGCAGTGACTGTCAATATGTTGAGGCTTGGCCAGTAATATCCTGGAGCAGTACAGAGGATTTCAAGTCATAATCCAGGCCTATATTTATGCATGGCTGAGCAAAAACAACACAAGGTCCGGCCCAAGACCATGACAAAGTGCATCCTACAAAATCAGTAACGTACTTTTGCCATGTAACCTCAATCCTCCAAAATTCCTCCACTTTGGCAAAGAGGATTTTGAAGGATTCAGGGCGGTTAGGGTTAGGGAATCGAAGCATGTTGTCATTCAATATGGTTTGGTACACTTCTTACATGCAGCAGCCATCTTAGAGGGCAATACTTTCCCAAAGACGGGCATTAGTTCACCTTAAGTTGTTAACTGAGTTAACCAATAACCCTCTAAAATGGCGGCCTTGCATGAATGAAGTCTATACACTGGTACAACAAATAAACTTTAGTCATTCTTTGTTTGCCGGCTATAGTCCCATTTTTCAGATGCTGTTAGAAAAAAATGCAAATTAAAGTAAATGATATTCAGGAAACCAAGTTGGAGCAGTCATTGCCAGGCATGCATACTATCATTTTTAATAATTTAAAAACTGACTGTTGACTAAAACCCTCATCTTTAAGACAGTTTTTTAAGAGAAAAAAAAATTACACAGAATGTCAGCTTTTTAATTTGTATCATTTTAAAGTCTTATTTGATGGGACATTACTAAAGCCTACCACAAGTTTGTAGTAATTTTTTTTCAATGTTAATTGGAGTTGGTCTGTTATGTTTCTTCACTGCATTTCAGTACTACTTATTTTTTTTGCAACATAGCAACAAACTTTACGAGGGCACCTTGTTCAAATAAATGAATGAGGAATCTCTGAACCTTCATTGCTCTTATACTGTCTTTCGTACGAGTCCATGTTGTTCTGATTGCGTGCTTTTCAGCCAAAGGGTCTGGTGTCTGTTATGATTTTTAAAATCTGCTAGACTGAACAAAAATCTGCTAAATCACCTATTTTTACACGAAATACATTACAAACACTATATATACTCACGTGCAGATGTTTTAAATTTCCTTAAACAAAACAAAAATCATAAACTTTAAAAAAAAAAAAAAAATTTAAAACATTTTTTGGTTAAATGTGCACTTGTTTAGCCTGGCTTGCAATGGTCTAAAGTACTTTACTGTGTACTAATACACGTCCGGGAACCTCCAATTGAAGCTTTTTCAAAACTAGCTGTATTTTTCAAACCTGCCATTTTAGGGGGTCAGATCACCAATTTTACAGATTTCTGCTAGAAATCTGTTTGAAAAAAATCATTTTGCTAAGTTTTCTGTCAAACTCGGGGTTTTTTTATCAAAAAATTATGTCAAATTTAGCCGAAATTCGGCTAAACCGATCACCGGCTTCTCTCGACGCATGTGTAATTGTTGATATCCATTGCTCAGCAAATTAGTCAGGTTAGGCCACAAAAAAAGTCTCCGGTTTCTGGTATGGAGCTTGTCCAAAAAGTGGTGCGGCGACGCGGCTTTTTTTTTTTTTTTTACCTGACTTTATTGCTTCAAATGTCGACTAATGACTGCAAATGGTGCCCGACTAAACTTAGTGCAAATATATGGGAGTTCAGAGAGGCTACGTTAAGCTTATTCTCGACCATAACCCCATCTAAAAACACGTTAAAATTGTGCAGCAGCAGAATTCCAGTCAAACCAGTGAGTTTGGCGGTTTTGAGACATCATCTTTCATTTAAAAAACTTTTTCATTTTGCCGACGCGCATGGCCGGCTACGGCGACGCGCGCGCATACCAGAAACCGGAGACTTTTTTTGGCCTGATAAGTGTATGGCACGGACTCTGACATTTTAGTTCTTGGTTCTTGGTTTGTTCTCCTAAATACTCCACGTGGGAGTTTATACAGGAGGCCAGAAACACCGGGGCAAAGTTAACAGACAAATGTTGGTGGCAATGGATTGATTGGCACTCCAGCTATCTCCCCACCATAAAGTTACATCCGAAAGCAACCTTGGTGGAATACACGTATGTGAACAGATTGAAAAACAAAAGTTGTGTACAATATTTATTGGAACGCACGTTTTTCCGACATCTCAGCGAAATCCTAACCTTTGAATAGTTGGGCAAGGATCCATGTAAGTTTCCAACTTCAAATAATATAAATGAGCAAAGGCGAAACTTTATTATCATTATGACCATCATTGTAATCATCAGTAAAATACCTAATGGCTAATGGCTACTGTTCAAACCTTTTGGAAAGACCAAGAAAAACTGATTCCAATTTGTCCGCCGAATACCGATTTAGAGTGGCGAAACGGGGGAGGGGGCATCGAGTCACGTCCCCCTCCAGAAATTGGCTTTATATTGTCATTCGCCATCATTTTTTTTCTGTCAGGGATTTTTCTGTAAATCTCCCTTAAACCGAGCAGGATATCCTCACCCGCACAGTTAAAAAGAAAAAACAAACATTTAACATACGGCAGAAAAGAAAATAATTCAGGGAAAACCTTGAGTAAATTAGTCGTGAAACTATTCAGGCCAACCTTTTCTAAAGAAATATAAACACTTAACAAAAACTCATATAAAACCCTAAAATCTGATAAGGAAGTGTTTCTCAGCAAATTATTTTGACTGGTTGTATAATACCAATTCGATTACAATAATATCAATTATGATTAAAATACGGCAATAATTGTGTCTGTGGTCACGTAATTTACTAGTGAAAACTTGCTACTTAGGCCCCCCCCCCCCCCCCCCCCGGATTCTGGTATGGAGCTTGCCCCAAAAGTGGTGCGGCGACGCGGCTTTTTTTTTTGGTGGACTTTTTTTCCCTTCAAATATCGGCTGATGACTGCAAATGGTGCCCGACTAAATTTAGTGCAAAATGTATTGGAGCCCAGAGAGGCCACATAAAGCTTATATACTCCATCGTAACCCCATCTGAAAACACGTTAAAAGTGTGCAGCCGCAGGATTCCAGTCAAACCAGTGAGTTTGGCGGTTTTGAGACATCATCTTACATTGAAAAAATAAACTTTTTAATTTTGCCGACGCGCATGTCCACGGCGACGCGTGCGCAGACCAGAAACCGGAGACTTTTTTTTTTTTGGCCTTACGTTTCGCGGGTGTGAAGCTACCATACTCTCTTATCTTAATGGGAATATGACCTGATGATTAGCATGTGTTGGCTAAGCATTGTTCCAACATGGGCATCAACAGTTGGGTCATTTCGATGTGGAAATCGACATTTTTAAGAGCTTGAACATCGTCTTTCCCCCAAGGACAACATTGGATGATTTTTGTGTGTGTGTTCATGGCAGCCATATAAAGGCTTTTGAGTAAAACTTCTTATGACAATTATGCCATGCATGATCGGGCACTTTTCATAGCAGTTCTGACTGGACTAAATTTCAATTTCGCCTGAAACATTTAGTGGGTATGCAAACATTGACCTGGGCCCCTGATCAGCGGCACAACTTTGGGGGTATCGGTAAGGCCAACAAAAATGACAGTTCTGCTTCCGGTTTCCCTACCTACCCTATTCTGACAGCCCCTACCCTAATTTTCTATGGGAAAATGAAAAAAACCAAACCATCAATTTCTACCTTTTACCCTTGACTACATCCAACACCTCCATTATGATCGAACAAAAAAAATGGCCAAAAAAATGTCCCTGCCCCCTACCCTATTTTCAAATGCCATGTAATCGGAAGCAGAACCACATTTTTTGGCCTAAGCATCCCCCTCTCAGCTTTTCAAACTGGGGGCATCACCAAAAAGGGGCACTTGCTCAGAAAACAAGGCACCTTCCGTCGGTGTGAAAGAGGAGAAAATTGTTAAACTATTCTCGTTCACATTGCAAGGAATACACGTTACCCGGAACACAATTCACTAATAACATTGATATACAGTTTAAAATGTTTGCGTTCAAATTTTAAAAATCTTAATTGCCTTACTCAAAAAAATTACTGAGTAGGCCTACTCATGAAATAGTCTCAATATAGCCGTATTGTTCTCAAAAAAAGGTAATTTTTCACTTGAGTGAGCCCTTCTGCCTCCGGCACACCCCCGGCAGTAACCTCTCTGGGTCCGCCTTTGTTAGGCCTATGCAAAGGGACCATCTTTTTATCGTGATCATGGGCGGATCCAGGGGGGGGGCCAAAGGGGGCCATGCCCCCCCCCCCCCAAAAAAAAAAAACGAAACCAATTTTTTTGTGGTTTTTTTTTTGTGACATCGCAATAAAGACAGGCAATGAGTACACAAAAAACATTGGTTAAAGGGGTCAGAAATTGCCTCAGATCGCACCACAGAGCATCTAGAATCAAAAAAAATTTCGGGGCCCTTAAGCGGGCCCCGAACCCCACGCCGTAATTTTTTGACCCACTTTTTTAAGTGACCAAAAAAATTTTAGGTCCCCGCCCCACAAAAATTGTGTTCTGGATCCGCCCTTGATCGTGATAGGGGCACTGTTGCTTTGATGGCCAGTTCAGTGACCATTTTCTTCGCGTGATGAGCACTCTTATTTTTTAAAGGCCAGTTTTCCATCTTGAGAGGGGCACAGTTTTAATGTTGCGAGCGGGGCACTATTGTGCTTTCGAGGGGCAGTTTTCCATCTCGAGAAGTTATCGCGAGAGGAGCACTATTGTTTTTGATGGCCAATTTCCCATCTCGAGAGGGGCACAATTTTATGATTGCGAGAGGGCTTTTTGTGCTTTCAAGGGATAGTTTTCCATCTCAAGGAAGGTTCCCAATCGTGTTAATGCGC